CTTCTGCTTATGCCTATGTGAGTGAACAGCCAGTACATCGATTCACGATTTCTGGAATAGTAAAGTTACTAGAAAAGCCTGGAGACCTGGTTTCTATTCTTCCCCCTATCAATGAGCTATTTGCATTGCGACACTGGCCAACTGATGTGCCACGTGACATTTTGCCTGCCTCTATAAAGGGAAAAGCAGAATAGTAGCACTGCAGAGGTGCAAAGGCTGCATTAGGAAGTTTGAGGTTGCAGTATGAAAAATGCTAGAGGAATGATTTTTCTTTAAAGGAAAGGCTTAACCACTAATGCTAAGTTAGCTTCATTGGCTGTATTTGTTACCCACTCAGCTCTACTCAGTCAGTCCTGTTTGCCAAAAATATCTAGGATGGTGGCATCAGAGGGCTTGTATTACTACTCTAAGTTACTTGCTGAACACGGTATCAAGCAGCAGCTTAAAAAAGGTGAGATCCTCTGTGTTTCAGGGTCTCAGCGTGTGTGAAACAGGACTCAGTATAAGGTAAAAAGTAATACTAAGGCAGCCATTGAACTGCTGTTTCAGAATTATGAGGAGGAAAAAGAACTTGAGATAATGGCTGCATGCATAGGGCCAGGAGAGCCTCACTTCAACTCACTACCGGCTTGGTCATAAAAGCCCCTTCAGTGCTTTGCCAGTACATTTGTGCTTATGTTTGCATGTTTCATCCTGCTTATTGTTTCTGGCTTAAACAAGCAGAGGATGGCCAGTGCTTAGATGCAAGACCTCAAAGAACTGTATCGCTACTACAAGTGGTGTTTGACTTTTGAGCAGAGAGGCAATGTTCCTCCTGCTGAAACAAGACTGGCTCAGTATCACAGCCTGGCTGCCCTGCAGTGGTGTGAGTTAGCAGTTGTCTGACTGATGCAGTAGGAAAGAGTCTTCCATGTGGCTCTTCTCCATCCCCCTGTACTAGTTGTTCTTAACACCATGCAGGGCAGAAACCATGTTTGTGGTGCTTATTAGTTGTTTCTGTGCCCCACTGTTCAGCTGAAACTTTGTTGTGCCTGGCAGTTGTAAGTCATCAAGGGTTTGGAGCTCTTAGCAAAGGACCGTGGTCTGCAATATCATGCTGCAGTGGTTAAATCATGCATTACATTAATAGCGTCACATATGGTATTAATGTGGTCAGTAGTTTTGATTACATTCCTGCAGCTGACCCTGATTCTTCTCTCAGGCATGTTTCCCTGAGTGCTGATACATTGCCCAAATCCCCTTGCTCCTGATCCCTTTAACTTATGAGGGAGCCCCTTGCTTCTGTCTCTCTGTCTAAGTGCAAACAGTTGAAAAGCCTGAGGCTGAATTGATTCAATTTTTGCAGGTTAGTCTGAATTGCATAGATTGATCTGATAAGTAAGTGAATAGACGTGCACTTTTGATTCGGGAAATGCAGCCACATGCCTGCAGTGGCTCAGGCCAGAAGCTGGGGGGGTGCTAGAGCAGATAGCTTGGGCCAAGGGTAGCCTGCCTACCCTTCAAGGGAGAGTTTGTAAGGGAGGTGCAAAGCATCCTGGGATGCAGGGGGACTGAGCTAACTTGAATCTGGAGGGGATCTGGGACAGAAGTTCAATAAACCAATTTAATCTAAGTCAGTTACATCTGATACTACAGCCATTCAGGTTTATCTTAAATCGGTTTCAGCCATTTTGAAAACGGTTTATATGCACTGAACTCCTGTTGTGTTACAGATTTGAACTGGTTTCTGATCACATATACCAGTTTGTGTAATTTCTGTCCCTAGTCTCTCAGGGCTGGCTATTCTCTTGGGGACCTTGATGCACTTGCTACTAATACCTGTATTTATGAGACAAGATATAAAGCTGCCAGAATATATGGTCCTCTGTCCTCACACTGGTGCTTTCTTAACTGGTAGGACTTAGGAGACAGGACATGTATTTATGAAATCCTGCAGTTCTGGAGAACTTTAAATTTTAGCCACATGTTTTGATCTTCATAAAAAAGTATCCTCCTTCTCTTCCCCGCACCAGCTTGTTCCGTCTCTCCTTCCACTGTGATGGTTTGAGGCACCAGCCAGCAGCCTGGCACTTGAGCTGAGCAGCAGATTGCAACTACACACCAGGAGGGCATTGTATGCCCTAATTACCCCATGTCCCAGTGCAATTGGTAGGGTGCTGAGAAAATTACAGACCTGCAAATGAAATCAGGGAGGAAATGGCCAGCAGCAGTAGCAGAGAGGAGAAGAGTCAGGGAGAGAGAGAGAGAAATTAGCCTGAAGTTTAATTCATTGTTTCCAAAAGAGCAGTTAATGGATTATGACAAATGTCCTACTGCTGTCCCTTAGTGCTGTGTTAAATGGAAATGGAAAGTCAATTTTCCTAAATGGATTTTAAATGATTGACCTCGCATGTTTTTTCACTCGTTTATGTTTGCTTGGGAGGCAGCTTGGTCATCGGGCTTTCTTGGACCACTTCATCTCTTGTTTCCTTGTTATTTCCCATATAGTTTTCAGTGCTCTGGGATACCCCTTTTTTATTACCCTTGCTTTCTACCAGAGGTGAGGAAGGAGGGGATTTGCTTCACTGTGGACAGATCTAGTGATGTTTTCACCAGCCTGGTGATATTAAATACTGTCCTTAACACACCAGTGCCCAAAGACAAGACTTGCAGTTTAAGTAAATTAGCACATGGCCTTCATGTACAAAGAAAAGCCTAAAAATGTGGCCCACTGTTAGTTGTGTAACATTGTGGCCCAATGTTAGTTGAAGGCCTAGGATTTAAAAAGCTAAGTAGAAGAAACCCCAGTTTTGTTTTCATAAATAATCATGATAATTTTGAGAACCTGACTCATGATCTTTGAACAGATGAGGCTCATGATTCAATTAATGTAAGTGTTGGGTCCAGGAAAGTTCTGGAGTGACAGCAGTGGTTAGAGCCACACACTTCCATCGTGCAACCTGGCTTCTGCATCTGAGACCTGAGTGCTGCAGTTTTCAGATTACATCTACGTGTAGGTATCCACTAAGATCAATACTATTAAACTTTGCATACTGCTTAAAGTTGTGATCGAACCTGCACATCTGACTTCTGGTCTCTAGAGACAAGACTAATAGAAGAGACAAGACACATATACACTAACACACGAATACAAGGCACACTAATACAAGAGACAAGGCACACTAATATAAGAGACGAGACTAATTGCTTCTCAGCCTATTGAAGGCTCAGCTCAAGTGTAGTCCTTTCGTCAAGTGTTCTAGGATCTGTTTGTCTTTGTATGCCTGTTTTCTAAACAAAATGGCATGGCTGGAATAGAAGCAGTCATGCTGATGTTACCAAGAGATCATGAATATCCAAAATTTATTGAGGTCAAATCTATTATCAGTTCAACAGTGTTGGCTGTAGAAAAAATAAGAAATTAGTTCTTTAGATTATGTTTATAGCTGTTCCAAAACCTCTTTTCTTCATTTGTGTGCTAGTGTGAACATTGTGTGGAGGGTATGCTCTTTTGAGAGAGAGAATCAAATCAAAAGCATAGAGAAATGTGCCTGTTTGCAAAAACTGTGGGAGAGTTGGCTGGCACTGGGACCAGTGGAATCCAAAAACCAGCTCTGTCTAAAAACTAAAGAGAAATCTATGTGATTTATGTCGCGGTCGTGGTCAGCTTTCCCAATGCGAGCCCTGCTGGCGTTTTGTTTGGATCATACTGATGCATTCCTTTAGCCTGTGGTATCAGAGGCTCTGGAGCAGTGCCAACTCTCTGCTTTCACTCTCAGAGAAGAAAACCTATAAAGAGCTGACATGGAGGAGAAGTCCGGGTAGAAGATGAGACAAGCAGCCTCCTACTCATTTCAGCTTTTAGGTGTAGCGTGCAGTATTTTTAAATCCCTATCATCCTCTTCCATGATTTCTAGATCTGTCTCTCAAGTATGTCCCTTCAGTGCAGCCTCAGGTGCCTTGCACGTCTTGACATTGTATTCACATTACTATTTGTGGAAATGGCGTGGTAGCTCTGACATGAAGTTCCTGCCACAAGTCCTGGGTGCATCATATTTTCTATAGCTGTTTGTACTGCAGCAAGTACCTTCACCTGGCAAGACCCATAGAACTGTCATACCTGTGGAGTACAAGGGGTCCAGTACCAGTATAAACACTTTTCTATTTCATAAGCAGAATGACTGGACATAAGCAGAGACATGATGGAACCATAGGTGCAATAGCTCACAGGAACCACCGTGGTCCCAGTTATGACAGAGTGGTAGAGTGTTGTTGGTCATAAGTGCCTTTACAACTATTATAACCTAACAAAAATGGTCCTCATGTGTTTCTAAGTATTTGCTTTTCTTCTTTGAGAACCCTCCCACTACCCCGTCCCTGTCACAGCCAAGGGATAGTGCCCTTTCTCCTGTAATAGTCTTCCCTCACTGGATAAGGTACAACATATGCAGCTCCTCCTGAGTCTATGAATACCCTGTATCAGTCAGACCATGTCACTGTAGTGACATCCTCTAAAGCCTGACCTGTAGGGCCCTCTGTCCTGAACAGTCCAGGAGTGAGGTACCAAAATGGGTCTTTCTGCAATGTCTTAAGGGTCCTGGGCTGGCTCTGTTCAGTTATATTTCCACCATTTGAATGTGGCACACTGAAAGTTATGAAAAGAGCTCTCCCTGTAGGCTCCTTAGCAACAGATAAACCAGTCATTTTTCTGCTCCTTCCATCGCTGGTGAAGGCATCTGAGAAAGAAGGAAGGTGAAGGCAGCCATTCTGCCCTCTATGCCTGGGATATTTGAGCGATAAACAGGGGAAGGATTAAATCAAGAAGAAAGTAATTATTTTCAGGCTTTTAAGAAGGTTTTTCAAACTATGTGAAGTGAAAGTAACACTAGTAGAGGAGTTGGCAGTGATGTGTTAAACAAAGAGCTAAATGGTTTTGACTTGTGCTATGCAGCTTGCAGAGGTATTTTCAGAGCACACTAAGTGGAGTAACTCTTTTCCCTCTTCTCTCACTTTCTTTGCAGGAATTGAGTATGGCGATGTGCTTCCAGATTCTTTCCCATCAGCCCCTGCAGAGACCCTCCCCCACTTCCTGCTGGAGCCACAGGATGCGTACATTGTCAAGAACAAGCCTGTGGAGCTTATCTGTAGAGCCAACCCTGCCACCCAAATCTATTTCAAGTGCAATGGCGAGTGGGTCAACCAGAATGACCATATCACAAAGGAGAGCCTGGATGAGGTCACTGGTGAGAAACCACTGCACACCCATTCTGGCCCAGTTACCTTTTTCCTTCCCCTCTCTTCATTTCTTTCTGTCTTTATAAAGGCTGTGCTGTCTGTAGCACAGTGGCATTTAAAACACATTTTTTAGGCATGATTGCAATGGAGGAATAATGATACACTTCTAGATATCACTTTCAGTGGTGATCTCACAGGATGGTTCCCCTTCAAGTGTCTTAGGTGCCTGGAGCGCATTCACTTAATGGCATGATGATGTTTGTTCTCTGATCCCAACAGTCGCACCTCCTCTTATGTCAGATGCCTGGCATGACACATGATTTTAAGATACAGGATCAGATCCCAATCATGCCATTACTACTTCCCAGTGCAGGGGTAGCCTGAGATCCCCCTGCACCAGTAAATAGAAAGCTAGGTGCCTGGTGAACCACTGTGGTCCTGGGGCTGGGCTGGACAATCAGTTGAGGGCCAGTTGGAGATTTGAGCACAGTGCCAAAGGTGACACCAACAGTCAGCTGTTTGCAGGTTCCAGTCCTGGGCCTGTACCACAGCCCTGCTATGCAGCTCAGGCTGCGTGCTGGGGACCCTTTCACACATTCAATTAAAGAGCAATGGAAAGCTGCTTCAAAATTATAACATATATTTTGTGGGAAAAAATAGTGGCTTATTTCCCATTTGATTGCACCATTAGTTGCCTGACCAAGTCGCTAGGCCACTATTTAAGAAGCGATTAATTGATTAATCACATCTTAAGTGTAACATCTACCAGAGGCCTCTGGAAACCTTTTCCTGGGCCATTACAGTTGCATATTTCTGAAATTCAGGAGAGGACCTATTACCTCATAAGAAATGAACAAGGTATAAGACTCAAAGCACGAGAAGCAGTTAAAAGCTTTTATGCTAGCTTGCATCTGTAGTAATTAGTAGTGAGGTGGCAAATGAACTGAGCCCTTAGTGATGCCAATATAGGCTCTAATAACTCAGGATGCAATTGTCCTGGAGAGAGACTATGATTGTTCTGACTATTTACTAGTTTGTGTTTTGTTGGCTGCCTGGAGGGAGGCCTTATCTGTACAGATTGCCCTTTCGTCTGCTGAAAAGCATGGGCTGGACTGGCACAGAGAAAGTAAGTCTGGGAGCAGGTGGTCAAGGCAGTAGTGTTCTTTAGAACAAAGTCATCAAATTGAGTTATTGTGATGCTGTGTTGTGATGTCACTTTTCCATCTTTGGGCCCCTGTGTCAGTGTTAATGCTGCATCCTTATGTCACGGCACACCATCAAGTAGTAGCAACCTAACAATGCATATCTGGTCACAATGCAGCTCACTGTATCATCCAATCAAGAAATGGAGTTGACCTGCACAGTTGTCTAACTCATCTCTTGGCCAACATAGTTGTCCCTGTTTTGTACTCATAGCTGTTCCATCTAGCCCTCCCTTGATTCCAGTTCTGTGCGCCCCATTTCAGGAGGGATGTGGACAACATTGAAAGGGTCCAGAGGAGGACCACCCGTATGATCCGGGGACTACAGGGCAGACCCTACATTGAAAGACTGCGGGACCTAAACCTGTTCAGCCTTCACAAGAGAAGGCTGAGGGGGGACCTGGTGACTGTCTATAAACTCACTAGGGGGGACCAGAAGAGTTTAGGGGAGACACTGTTTCCCCTAGCGCCCCCTGGCATGACAAGGAACAATGGACACATTATTAGAGAGTAGATTTAGATTAGACATCCGCAAGAACTACTTCACAGTTAGGACGGCTAGGAGCTGGAACCAACCTCCTAGGGAAGTGGTGCTGGCTCCTACCCCGGGGATCTTTAAGAAGAGGCTTGATGCCTACCTGGCTGGACTCATTTGAGTCCAGTCTTTTCTCCCGCCCAGGCAGGGGGTCGGACTTGAAGATCTACGAGGTCCTTTCTGACCCTACTTCTATGATTCTATGATTCCTATTATTTTTTACTTTCCTTTTGTATCAAATTAAGCATCTGTTCTTCTTGGCTGTCTCTCCCATCCAACTGCTTGGAGATTGATAAAGTTTCACTTTGTTAATCCTTGCTTATTCAAGCTATATGCATGTCACTTTTGTTTAATCTTCCTCAAAATAAATGTCTCCAAACCACTGATCATTTTTGTTGCTCTTGACTATATCTAGTATATCCTGAGATAGGACTGTACATGATTGAATGTGTTGTTGGAGGGAATATTCATGTAAGAACCAAAGACTAAAGGACTGTGACCTCCATTCTGTATAACATGATGTCTGTATACTCCACCCAAAATTGCATTGATCTTTTGTGCTGCCATATCTTCTTTCTAGCTAACAGCTAATTTGCACTCCGCTATCATCTGAAAGTCCCTTTCAATATTTACTTCTTCCTAATTTTTCTTCCTTCCATCGTACATCTATGTTTGAGATTATTTTTCCGCAGGTGTATTAGCTGGTATTTTTCCAATTCATTTTTATCATTTCCTGCCCATGTTTCCAATCTTACTAGGTCATTTTCTATGATTTCTTTGTCTTTGCTGCTATTTACAGCCCTGCTCAATTTTCCATCCTCCGTGAATTTTAATAGAATTGTTGCTCCTTCAAGATCATTGATGAAGATATTAAATAAGGGTGGACCTATCAAATCCCCTTGCTGTACCCCACCAAAAAGCAATTCATCAGCAAGTCAAAAACAATTGCTTCTTGGAACAGGTAGTTCTAAACCACACACAACAGAGACATTCTCAGCTTAGTCCTATGCAACAAACAAGCCTATTCTAATTGAGTCAGTTAATAGCAGTAACCACAATATAATTATGGTCAGTACCTTTGCAGGAGAAATCAAACTAGCATAGCTGTTGTAGATGAAAATTATTCCTCTCCAAGGTACCAATGTCAACAAAACAGTGGATAAAATTGGACTTTCATAAAGTAACTCACAAGAAGCTGTTAAGAAACTAAGCAGTTGTGGAGTGAAAGAAATAAAATACTGTAGTGCAGATCAGAATGTAGCTAAGAGGAAGAAAAATGAGAGTTGGACTACATGCTCAATTGTTAACGCGGCAAAAGTTAACAATGGAGAAAGCACTGGGAACAGTTCTGGTCAAATACATTCAGAAGACTTTTGGGCAAAATTTTCAGAGGCATGTAAGGGAAACTGGGATGCAATTTCCATCTGATGTCATTGGCTTCATGGAGCAGAGTAGAGAGGCAGGGTGCTACTGCAAGAGATGGCATCAGATGCCAAGTTAACCCTTTCCTGGCCCTGCAACTGCTTCAGTTTTACATGGCAGAAAACAATTCAAAGCCCTGAATTTGGTGGTGGCTGCAGGGCCAGGGAATAGTGGCTCTTAGCAGTGATACCTCCTCTTTCAGCAGCATCCTGTCCCCACTCTGTTCCACAGAGTGCTCTGCTCCCTTTACTGAACACCCACATGCATCACATGTGCTACGGGTTGGCCACCCCTGGTCTAGGGAAAACCCTGAAAAACTTTCGAAGAAGCTAACAAAGCTAGGTGAATGGGCATCACAATGGCTGATGAAAGTCAGTGGTGTCTAAAATAAGGTGATGCTCATCAAAAGCTACCCACAATTACTCAGGCCTGTTTCAGAGCTCTAAATTAACTGGAGTCATACAGGGAGAGAAGACGTGAGGTCAGGGCAGACAGCTTGATAAAAAGCTGTGTTCAGTGTTTCTTGGCAACCAAAAATGCAAAAAGTCCACATGGGGAATAGGACAGAAAATAATACTGAGACTTTTATATTGTCCTTGTATAAACCAATAATATGTCCTTACCTGGACCACTTTTATTAACCCTCTCTCAAAAAGATAAAGCAGAAATTGGCAATGAAAGTGATTAGGGGCAGACAAAGATTTCCATTTGAGAAAAGATTGAAAAGTTTGGGGCTGTTTTATTCAGAGAGAAGATGAATCAGAGGGTAGAGAGTACAAAATAAATGGCACAGAGTAGGTAGATCATGTGCTTCTCATTATACAACAACGAGAGGACATTTAATGAAATTGAAAGGCAGCATATTTCAAACTGCAAAAGGAAATACTTTTCTTGTACAATGCATAATCAACCTGTAGGACTCATTCCTACAACGTATCATAAAGGCCAAGAGCTTAGTCAGATTCACAAAAGGATTAGATGTTTAATGGATAATGAGAACATTCACAGATAGGATTTAAAATGGGTATGAGGGGATATAAACTCTCTCATGCATCAGAGCATATGTCAACCACTAGCAGCCTGGATTAAGGGAAAACTTACCTTAGGGTTGTAATATTCTGTAATTATCCATTACAGGGTTTCTTGCCTCTTCCTCTGAAAATCTGGTATTGGCTATTGATTAGCTGGGACCACTAGTTAGATTTTAATCAGATGATTCACTTGAGGTTCTATACCATTTCTGTCACTGATTTTGTAATTGTCCGGAAGCAGAAAACCAATCAGGTTCCTCATGTTAAATCTGTTCTTTCTAAAACCACCAGTACGATGGAGTCATTATCACCTGAAGTCATGATTGAAAGATGGAATATATATATTAAAAAGCTACTCATTACAGAAGGCATGGGTTGGATGCAGAAATTACAGGGTGTGATTCCAGAGCTTCTGTTACCACTCTTACTTCTGTCCTTAAAATATATGAATTGTGTTCATTGTTCATGACCCTGCTAGGCTTTGATGAGGGGGGTGGGGGTCCCTCTTTTTTTTTCCTTACCAGTACTCTACTATAAGCAGAGTAGCTGTCAGGCTCACTCTTCTTGCTTCTCAGATGATCATCAGTACATTGTCTTTTCTCCAATCAGTATTTCTCAAGATTTCCACAAATTTTTAAAATCACATATCAGTGATATCTATGGACCACCTGATTCATATACGTTTGTATTTTCCAACTATTCATTTACCTATTTGTTGAAAACTGCCCAATTGTTTTACTGTGTTTTCTTGTTGAAGACAGATTATAAAAGCCTGTGGTATCCTCAGCCATTTTGAAATCGTTCATTTAATCCTTGGC